AAAAAAAAAAAAAAAAGAAATACACATTTCTAAACATTCCCAGAAACTCTAACAAATTCATCAAGTAAAATTTCACTTGAGAAGTGACCGGTAGGGGGTGGTCCGAGTGACCTCGAAAGTGGGGCGCAGTACACGGCACGCGCCCTTTGTCAAATGGTCGCCAAACATTTTGAAAACATCTCAATCTGGTCGCGAGAGTGGACCACGGGTGGGCAAAGCTCGCTCTCTCTCCGAGGTTATTTGTCAAGCATCTGAAGGGGGTGGCTATCTCTCCTTCTCCATCTCGAGCAAAGGGTCGCGTGGCCAAACGGAAGTCGCTCGCCTGTTTTTCTCCAATGGAGCCGTGTAAATCATTTCTACAACGAAGGAAAGAGGGAGAGATGAACGCGTTCCCATTTCTCCCTAAACGTGGATCACCGTGGTGAAAATTTCGTTTCCTTCTATCGTTAGCTTGCGCTCAGTGTAAGTGTCAGGCCCCATTTGGTCTTTCCGAAGGTTGCCTCTTGCGATTTGGCCCAAAGACCCAGTGGCCCTAAATTTTCTAAAACTGTTCCAGCCACGAGTGCCTTTCTTCCAAAGACTTTCCATTTTTACGGCTGGCTAGTGCATACAATGGAGGCATCCCGCGACGAACTGCCTACCAATAGGAGTCACGTTAGGCTGAGATCGCTACTGGTGTTCGTACGGGTTATAAACGCCATAAATTGCTCCTCGTCTCGTTTGACGCACGCCCGCTGGCCGTGACCTGAATTCCTCAAGGCCACTGAAAGACGAACAAACCGAGGTTGGCTTCCGCAGGGAGCGTTAGGTTCGCATTGACATTCTGTTCCTTTTGTGCCCTTTTTTACAAGTTAGAGTCCACGTCTAACCGAGATGAAGTTGAAAAAGTCACTTTCTGTTATTTAATTGAAGATAAATTGAAGAGACTTGGCCCACATACAGACGTTGCAGTATTTTACATGTATCGTTTAAATTATCGCAAAATGCAATTCAAATGAACACTATAATAATTAGAATACGTATAATAATTAGAATAAGTATTTATTATAAAATAAGTAGATTCGTACGATTGTCTAAAGAGAAATCAATATTATACCCGGTAGACCCGGAAAATCTGAAATCCGTCATATCAACGAATATTGTTCCACTGTTAAAATCTAACACATTCAACAATGACATATGAATACGCTACAGATTCCACATACTTTCGAGTGTGTAGATATCGAACGATGAGTTTAAAAAATGAATACCGAATCAATTTTTCAGTGAAATAATTGAAGGGAGAGAAAAACGATTCGAAACGACTCGTCCAGGTACGTCAACAGTTTTGAACGAGACGCAAACTTTCCTCTGGTCGCGTCGGGAGTAAAAATCCATCGGGCTACCGAACGGAAGCGGCGGTCACGCAACAGTCATCGCATTATCGATGCACACGTGCCTTTTGTAAAAAAATTCCGCCGCGTAGACGGTGGCCAGAGGTGGCACGGTGCCGCAAAACCGCCACGAGGGGAGGTGTGATGCGTTACAGCTGGTTAAACAGCTGTAACCGAAGAAAGATAGCCGTGAACATCCGCGACAAATTTCAATACCGAGCCCTCCAGAAAACCTCGCGCTCCAAATCAGGCCAGTCTTGCCTCATCTCATTTCCTTCTGCTGTCTTCCCTCCTCCTTTCGCTGTAAAAGACCATCTCCCTTTTCGTGTTTATTTGCCGACGAAAGAGGCAATTTTGACAGAGTTTGACTGAGTTCAGATTGATGTACTCACTGGAATCGGTTGATTCATTGACGAGTGAGAAT